GCCCCCCCCCCTACTGTGGCAACTTACTGCGATTTATCCACCCGGCGCTCCGCTCGTTGTTGTGAGCGTCGCTCCTCTGACTTTCTGCTGTGGCTGGAGGGCGACTGCCTCCAACTGCCCAGCAGCAGCAGCAGCGTCTTTCACGAGCCTCCTCCACAGAGGCCGATCTTGACACCGCTGGTAACGGTCATGGGGCAAGTCCACTCAGCTCCACATCCTCCTGTACCACATCACTCCATCTCTTCTCTAGCCCGTGTCACTCACCAACCACTCACCCACTCACCCGTCACTCCATCTCTTCTCTAGCCCGTGTCACTCACCAACCACTCACCCACTCACCCATGACTCCATCTCTTCTCTAACCCGTGTCACTCACCAACCACTCACCCACTCACCCGTCACTCCATCTCTTCTCTAGCCCGTGTCACTCACCAACCACTCACCCACTCACCCATCACTCCATGTCTTCTCTAACCCGTGTCACTCACCAACCACTCACCCACTCACCCATCACTCCATCTCTTCTCTAGCCCGTGTCACTCACCAACCACTCACCCACTCACCCATCACTCCATCTCTTCTCTAGCCCGTGTCACTCACCAACCACTCACCCACCACTCCATCTCGTCTCCAGCCCGTGCCGCGCCTGTTTACCCCCCTTCTATCCAGCCAAACAGAAGCTGCTTGGGCATGCACACACAATACAAAGACCCCCCGTATAGCCTTTAACAGACTGTAGGGGCAAGTGCTGTTAGTGAGCAGCACCTATGAAGGCTGGCACGGTACACGAGGGGGTGGGTGGCCAGCACCACGCCCCGCCGCCTTTGTCTTCCCAGTGTTTACTACACACCACACCAGGTACTCATTTGAGGCTGAGTCGACCTGGGGGGGGGGGGCCAGGACTGGTTTCAGATAATTAGTCGTCACCGATGTTGGTGGCCGTGAGCGGAAATCGACCGCGGGTCGCCGGGTTCGTAGCGCAGCGTGTTAACAGCAACACAACCACTCCCCACACACACACACCACACACACCACACACCACACTCACACACACACTCCACACACACCACACACCACACACACAACCACTCCCCACACTCACACACACACACCACACACACCACACTCACACACAAACTCCACACACACCACACACCACACACCACACACACAACCACTCCCCACACTCACACACACACACCACACACACCACACACAACCACTCCCCACACTCACACACACCACACACACACCACACAACCACTCCACACACTCACACACACACAACCACTCCCCACATTCACACACACCACACACACCGCACACACCACACACACAACCACTCCCCACACTCACACACACACCGCACACACCACACACCACACACACACACCACACACACCACACACCACACACACAACCACTCCCCACACTCACACACACACACCGCACACACCACACACCACACACACACACCACACACACCACACACACACCACACACACACACCACACACATACCACACACACACACCACACACACACCACACACACACACACCACACACAACCACTCCCCACACTCACACACACACACCACACACACCACACACAACCACTCCCCACACTCACACACACCACACTACACACACACACACAGTACACACATACCACACACCACACACACCACACACACCACACACACACACACACCACACACACCACACACACCACACACACACACACCACACACACACCACACACATACCACACACCACACACACACCACACACCACACACCACACCCACTCCCCACACTCACACACACACACCACACACCATACACCACACACACCACACACACACACCACACCGCACATGCACACCACACACACACACCACACACACCACACACTCACACACATACCACACACACCACACACCACACACACCGCACACACCACACACCACACACACACACACCACACACACACACCACACATACACCACACACATACCACACACACCACACACACACACCACACCCATACCACACACACACACCACATACACACCACACACATACCGCACATGCACACCACACACACCACACACATGCCACACACACACTCATACACTTACACACCCCACACACATACCTCGCCCACTCACACACGCACACACACTACACACACACCACACTCACACCACACACACACACACCACACACCACACACATGCCACACACACACTCACACACCCCACACACATACTCACACACACACCACACACACACACCACACACACCACACACACACACGTGAACGTTCGTGTATGCACACACTGCACACACCACACACATACCACAAATACACCACACACACACACCACACACACACCACACACACACCACACACATACTCACAGACACACCACACACACACCACACACACACGTGAACGTTCGTGTATGCACACACCACACACGCTTGACCTTACACTCATGGCCGTGTAGCCACGAGAGAGTTCTCAAGATGGGATTTGAATGCGCCTGAGTGCAAACAGCATGGTGGTGGTGAAGGTGGTGGTGGTGAAGGTGGTGGTGAAGGTGGTGGTGAAGGTGGTGGTGCTGAAGGTGGTGGTGGTGAAGGTGGTGGTGGAGGTGGTGGTGAAGGTGATGGTGGTGGTGGTGAAGGTGGTGGTGTTGGAGGTGGTGAAGGTGGTGGTGGTGGTGGAGGTGGTGGTTGTGGTTGAGGTGGTGGTGAAGGTGGTGGTGGTTAAGGTGGTGGAGGTGGTGAAGGTGGTGGTGGTGGTGGTGAAGGTGGTGGTGGTGGTTGAGGTGGTGGTGGAGGTGGTGGTGGTGGTGGTGGTGAAGGTGGTGAAGGTGGTGAAGGTGGTGGTGGTGGTGAAGGTGGTGGTGGTTGAGGTGGTGGTGGAGGTGGTGGTGGTGGTGGTGAGGGGAGTGGTAGTGTAGCGGTTAGCGCACTGCGCTACGAACCCCGTGATCCCGATTCGATTCCCGCTCACGGCCAACACTCAGTGACGATAACACGATGTAACACAAGTTTTGTACCTGGGTAGTAAGTGTTATTTAGTAATTGCTTATGCTAAAACGTATAGAACATGACTATTATTATTCCCCACAAACGTTGCTTTTGTGACCAGGACAGTGACATTTTGAAATGTACCAATTCTCAATGAGAAAACGGGCGAATTTATGTCTTTTCGTTCACATAAAGTAAGAAAAAAAGAACATATGAATCAACTTAACATGTATTCATACTTAAGTAATAAAAAAAATACTACGAAAGATTTAGGAGTAGTTTTTCGAGATTTACGATTATACTGTAAATCACTTTCACGAATCAGCCCCCAAATGTAGTCTCCCATCATATTCTCATTATACTGTCCTTGGTAGCGGCGTTCAAAGTCCAGTTTATCCTGGTGGAAGCGCTTGCCTTGCTCCTCCGAGTACGCTCCCAGTTCTCCTTGAATTTATCAAGATGGGCATCAAGGATGTGGACTTTGAGGGACATCCTACAGCCCATTGTGCCATAGTTCGTCACCAAAGTCTCATTCCAGCTCCACATGGTTTTCGACCTTGGGATTGTCCAGGAAGCCACGAACCACTGCGACAAAGCTGTCCCAAGCCGCTTTCTCCGTACTAGTGAGCTTCTTGGGGAATTCATTGCACTCCAGGATCGTCTTTATCTGTGGTCCGGCGAAGACACCAGCTTTGACCTTTGCCTCAGACAACTTAGGGAAGAAGTCTCGAAGGTACTTGAAGGCTGCCGACTCCTTACCTACAGCTCTGACAAATTGTTTCACGAGGCCCACTTTGATGTGCAGTGGTGGCATCAGCACCTTCCGGGGTCCACCAGTGGCTCCCACTTGACGTTGTTCCTCCTCCCCACAGAGAACTCGGTCCGCTGTGGCCAGTCCCGCACTGTGGTAGTGCGCCTTGGTGTCTAATTCTTTTGTCGTCATTTTTGTTTTACTTTAGTATAAATACACGTTCATTTTGATTCATATGTTGATTTTTTTCTGACGCTATGTGAACGAAAAGACACAAATTCGCCCGTTTTCTCATTGAAAATAGGTAAAATTTCAAAATATCAATGTCCTGGTCACAAAAGCAAAGTTTCTTGTGAACAATAGTCATTTTCTGTACAGTTGAGGCATACGCAATTAGGAAATAAACTTAGCACGCAGGATCAAAAACACATTTTTTGTTACAAAGTGTTATCTGAACCTGCCGAGCGTGGTGCTGGCCACCCACCCCCCTCGTCTTGCCCTGCCGACCTTCACTGCTGCTTTCTAACAGCACTTGCCCCAACAGTCTGTTCAGGCTACACTGGGGATCTTTGCCTTTGGTGATGGTGGTGATGGTGGTGATGGTGGTGATGGTGGTGGTGGTGCTGCGTTTAAACTCTTAGCAGTATCCGTGTAACTAAGTGTGGTGATATTAGAGTGATGTTACTGTGATATTGCGGTGATGTTAAGGTGATGTTGCGGTGATGTTGCGGTGATATTGCAGTGACGTTGCACAGCAAATGGGTCAATTCCCCCAAATTATTCATATTGCTGTTACAGTATTTTTGATTGGCGGAGGGTTTTGTATGGGATGAGATTATGGTTCTGTTTGGGATGAAAAGAGGGTTTTTTTATGGGATGAGATCATGGTTCTGTATGGGATGAGATGAGGATTCTGTATGGGATGAGATGAGGATTCTCTATGAGATGAGATGAGGATTCTGTATGGGATGAGATGAGGATTCTGTATGGGATGAGATGAGCCGTCTGAATTTTATGTTCAGGATCATACAAGGCGGCTTCTGTATGAGAGGAACAGACGGTCCTGCTCGGGATGACCCTAACACATCCCAACTGACCCCTGACCCCTGACCCAAACCCCGGTGACTTTCCCGAGGTGCGCATTCAACTCACGAAAGTTTTGCGGGGTGCCGACCCCCTGCACCCTCCCCCCCCCCTCTCCCCCCCAGGTTCGACTACATTGAGGTGCGCGACGGGGCGGGCCCACAGGCCGAGGTGCTGGGTCGCTACTGCGGGAACGTCGCACCGCCTCCCATCACCTCGTCGGGCCCCGCCCTGCGGCTCTCCTTCGTCTCGGACTACACCAACCAGGGCGCCGGGTTCAGCCTGCACTACGAGATCCTCACCACGGGTGAGTGGCGCTGGTGAGATGGGAGAGTTGTGAGCGTGGGCTACAGCCTGCACTAGGAGATCCTCACCACGGGTGAGTGGCGCTGGTGAGGCGGGGGGAGAGAGTGGTGAGCGTGGGCTATAGCCTGCACTACGAGATCCTCACCACGGGTGAGTGGTGCTGGTGATGGGGGGAGAGTGGTGAGCGTGGGTTACAGCCTGCACTACGAGATCCTCACCACGGGTGAGTGGCGCTGGTGAGGGCGGGGGGAGAGTGGTGAGCGTGGGTTACAGCCTGCACTAGGAGATCCTCACCACGGGTGAGTGGCGCTGGTGAGGGCGGGGGGAGAGTGGTGAGCGTGGGCTACAACCTGCACTAGGAGATCCTCACCACGGGTGAGTGGCGCTGGTGAGGGCGGGGGGAGAGTGGTGAGCGTGGGCTACAACCTGCACTAGGAGATCCTCACCACGGGTGAGTGGCGCTGGTGAGGGCGGGGAGAGAGTGGTGAGCGTGGGCTACAGCCTGCACTACGAGATCCTCACCACGGGTGAGTGGTGCTGGTGAGGGGGGAGAGTGGTGAGTGTGGGCTACAGCCTGCACTAGGAGATCCTCACCACGGGTGAGTGGTGCTGGTGATGGGGGGAGAGTGGTGAGCGTGGGCTACAGCCTGCACTAGGAGATCCTCACCACGGGTGAGTGGTGCTGGTGATGGGGGAGAGTGGTGAGTGTGGGTTACAGCCTGCACTAGGAGATCCTCACCACGGGTGAGTGGTGCTGGTGATGGGGGGGGAGAGTGGTGAGCGTGGGCTACAGCCTGCACTACGAGATCCTCACCACGGGTGAGTGGCGCTGGTGAGGGGGGAGAGTGGTGAGTGTGGGCTACAGCCTGCACTAGGAGATCCTCACCACGGGTGAGTGGTGCTGGTGATGGGGGAGAGTGGTGAGTGTGGGTTACAGCCTGCACTAGGAGATCCTCACCACGGGTGAGTGGCGCTGGTGAGATGGGAGAGTGGTGAGTGTGGGCTACAGCCTGCACTAGGAGATCCTCACCACGGGTGAGTGGCGCTGGTGAGATGGGAGAGTGGTGAGCGTGGGCTACAGCCTGCACTAGGAGATCCTCACTACGGGTGAGTGGTGCTGGTGAGGCGGGGAGAGTGGTGAGTGTGGGTTACAGCCTGCACTACGAGATCCTCACCACGGGTGAGTGGTGCTGGTGATGGGGGGGGGAGAGTGGTGAGCGTGGGCTACAGCCTGCACTAGGAGATCCTCACCACGGGTGAGTGGTGCTGGTGAGGCGGGGAGAGTGGTGAGTGTGGGTTACAGCCTGCACTACGAGATCCTCACCACGGGTGAGTGGCGCTGGTGAGGACGGAGAGAGTGGTGAGCGTGGGCTACAGCCTGCACTAGGAGATCCTCACCACGGGTGAGTGGCGCTGGTGAGGGCGGTGGGAGAGTGGTGAGTGTGGGCTACAGCCTGCTCTAGGGGATCCTCACCACGGGTGAGTGGGGCTGGTGAGGTGGGGAGAGTGGTGAGCGTGGGTTACAGCCTGCACTAGGAGATCCTCACCACGGGTGAGTGGTGCTGGTGAGGCGGGGAGAGTGGTGAGTGTGGGTTACAGCCTGCACTAGGAGATCCTCACCACGGGTGAGTGGCGCTGGTGAGGACGGAGAGAGTGGTGAGCGTGGGCTACAGCCTGCACTACGAGATCCTCACCACGGGTGAGTGGCGCTGGTGAGGACGGAGAGAGTGGTGAGCGTGGGCTACAGCCTGCACTAGGAGATCCTCACCACGGGTGAGTGGGGCTGGTGAGGTGGGGAGAGTGGTGAGTGTGGGCTACAGCCTGCACTAGGAGATCCTCACCACGGGTGAGTGGGGCTGGTGAGGTGGGGAGAGTGGTGAGTGTGGGCTACAGCCTGCACTAGGAGATCCTCACCACGGGTGAGTGGCGCTGGTGAGATGGGAGAGTGGTGAGTGTGGGCTACAGCCTGCACTAGGAGATCCTCACCACGGGTGAGTGGCGCTGGTGAGGGGGCCGAGTTCGATTCCCGCTCACGGCCACCACCATCACCGGTGACGAAATCAATCCTGGACCTCCGCTAGGTCGACTCAGCCTCAAATGAGTATCTGGTACCGTGTGTAAAACATCAGTGGGGAGACAAAGGTGGCCGGGCGTGGTGCTGCTGGCCACCCACACCCCTCGTGTGCCGTGCCGGCCTTCATCGGCGCTGCTGGCGGACAGCACTTGCCCCAACAGTCTGTTAAAGGCTACACGGGGGACCTTTGTCTTTGTGTGTGCGCGTTATCCGCCAGGCTCGGACGAGTGCTCGCAGAACCTGACGGAGTCGACCGGGGTCATCCAGTCGCCTGGGTATCCGGACAAATACCCCCACTACCTGGACTGCACCTACGTCATCCAGGTGAGTGGCGCATCGCCGCTCGCGCTCACGGACACGCACAGACAAAGGTCTCCCGCGTAGCCTTCACAGACTGCAGGGGCAAGTGCTGTTAGCGAGCAGCAGCACCTGTGAAGGCTGAGGGGGGTGACAGGCCAACACGCCACACCTATGAACAAACAACAACAACAAACAACAGCCGCCATTCGCCACTAAGTGGC